GCTGCCAGGTTGTGAAGTGGCCATGGCACTTACACAAGGAGTTAACAATTCCTGCTTGATATCCCCTGAATGAAAATATCTCTGTATGCATTCTGAATATTGAAATGAATTGTTCCTCTTATTGGCGCAGTGAGGCCTGAGTTTTCCATATTCAAAGTATAAATCAAATTAAGACATAAATATATTTCTCCTTTTGGATTTAAAATTCTCATCAGCATTAAATGAATGAAAAGATGACAAATATATCTCAGAGAAGACCCCAGTATCATAAATGAGGAGTTTTAGATATATGTGCCGTCATATGTATTTCTTTATTCCTGGTAGAATCTTGCTGCATGTTTGCTTACTGCTTCATGCCTTCATTTAATAAATAATAATGTAAAAAGTCTTAACTTGAAGGAACTTGTTTTATCTTTCTAAAAAGAGAATTATTTGAGAATTTTCAGTAATTTGGAAAATTATCTGTTCTAATGATATCTAATTAATAAGTGGATTAGAGTCTGTTAAAGACTCATGGTACTCAGAGGATTGCTTTTATTTTTATGAGAAAGACACAATATAAAGGCTGTGATTGAATTGGCAAGAGTAATGGTAGTTGTATTATCCTGGTGAGAATTTATTACTGTGCCAGAACAAACACATCAACAGATTTTACACTACTAATGTAACACTGCAGTAGAAATCTGTACTTAAGCTCCAACTTACAGAGGAAAGTTAAGCGTGAGTACAGAAAACTAACAAGAAAATTAAGAGATCTAGAGGCACCACCTAATTTACCTAAAGAGTTTCTACCTGCAAGTAAAGGGAAGTGATAAAAAACCCTCTTACTTGAAGAACCCAGTCGTTTGAAGATGACATACTTCTACAATACTAGAAACATAAGACATTTATGGTCTGGAAGGAAAAGGAGTTCAAATATGATCCCATATGACCACTAGCAATGGGAAAAACATGGGTTCACGTTATGAGAATAGCTCATAGAAACTACTCTGATATAACTGGTAAGATGGTTGGTAAATATTTGTCAAGCATGTTATTAAAACAGGAAATTATTTTTTGAACAAAATGAGTTTGTAAACCTGCCAAGTAAGGAAGAAAAGAAGAGGAATAATAAATAGATGGAGTAATTATTAACATGACTTATCTCACTTTTCTTAGACAGTTTCCCATGAAAGATGATGAACTGGGGGCTGCAGTAGAATATATTACATACATATATTACTGCAGCTCTTCCATTTTGCAGTGGAAGAAGATGGAGACCTGCAGAATTTCACAAAGGCTGAATTTCTGAAGCTCTTGGGAAAAGATTCATACTGTTGTCCAGAGCAACCCCATAAGCTTAAGTAACCCAGGGAGGAAGTTTCCTTGGTTGTCATGAATGGACAGTGCACATCCACTTGTCATTATTTTTCTTAAATAGTAGGGCATTTCTATTACAATTTCATCATAGTTTTTATAAAAGCTTGATTTTTTTTCATCTTAAAGTGATTGAATGCATTCTTAGTGTAAATAAAAATGCTCAGAAGTTTATACAATCAATTAAATGTAATTGTATGCTACCCATTTTCCTGGATTACTCTGTTGTAAGACTTGATTTTTTTCCATATTTAAGAAGCAAAGAAGCTTCCAACTTCTCCATTCCACAGAAAATTTGCATGACCATGTCCATCCCACTGGGAAAATAAATGTAATGTTGAGTTCGATTCATGTGATTTGTCAATATAATTAAAATAAACTGAGTCATTATGATTTTTTTGGATGTGTGTTGGGACTGTGGCCAACATAAGACACGACCAGCACTGTAAATGATCTCTGTGGCCTGGAAGCTGAAATTCCAATTTTAGCGATTCTGGCCTGACCCAAAAGGCATTTTGCCCCCTTAGGGGAGATAAGAATTATGTTACTGTGCTTCACGAATTTTTTTATAGGGTGAGAACCATTTAGGCAGCATCCCTTGTGGACAGCAGAATGATGCTGTGCCACTTGGTCAGTGTCAAATATGATGTGCTCACCATGGAAGTGCTGTAGGAAGCTAACACCTACACTGGCCATCATCTGATTGCCATGTCAGGCTTAATGGCTGCTTTCTTTGTTTTCCTCTTACTTAAAGGTAGTGTTGCTTCAGGGTTGGTTTATGACACCATGCCTCAGGCAGCAGAGTGGCACCAAGGAACTGCAGCACTGGTGGGGAAGGGCTTGGATGTGCCCTTTCCAAAGAGGGAGTGCTGCCGGGCAGCAGTGTCCTGAGGGCTGCGACTCTATGGGGGAGCTCAGCTTTGATTAGTGCTGTGATAACATAAATGGTTTTGTCCATAGACCACTGTTGTGTCAACCATGACAGGATTTAAACTCTACACTAAACTTCTGTTGCTGCTCATCTTTTCTCATATTTTCATTGGCAGGTGTGTCAGAAGTTGTGGCAAAGGGAAATTTTAAGGAATAGCAAGATTTGACAGGATTTGGGGAGGTTACAGGGATGTTACAGGGCCTCTGCATTTTCTTAACGAAGAAGATATTTTAAAAAATTCAAGAAAGTTTGATTGTATATTCTTTTGTTTTCTGCTCCTTTTGCTCTAGCTCAGGAGGCATTTTAGATTTGAACAGTCACTGTAACATAGCAGATGTATCTGAACTTCTGAAAAGCGAAATACCCTTTGGAGAATAGGGGTTTTTTATGTCAGTTCAAACACAGATTATAAAACTATGCTGTAACAACTATAGGCTTCAGAAAAGGAAAAAAAAATAAAACATTTGGAAAGTTAAAAATCTGCTTTATTATAAACCACTGGTTTAGTGACAACTGTTGTTTGCTTTAGTAATGGTGAAATGTAGGCTGCTGCATCACTTGTGATGGGCAATTTCATTGTTATAAAGACATAAACCATGGCAGAATTCAAACCTTCCTGACACATGCTACGACATATGTATGACTACTGTTCTCAGCTGTAATCTCTATTTGCTATTTATCTTGTGACTGTGAACTTATATTGAAGGCAGGCACTACAGTCAGCTGCAGTGATCTTTTTCTACTGGAATGTTGTATGTCCACAAGTACATCATAAATGCCTTACCATGTTACTCCATGTCAGTTTATTAAAGGGTAGAGGGTAACTCTGAAAAGCAGAATAGGGAAATTTAATGTTTTGTTTGGCTTTTGCCATATTAGGATCTAATATTTACGTGTTGTGTGTTGCAGTTATTCTTCCCTTCTTTCTTCTGCTAATGTCAGAAAAAGTATAAGCAGTAACCAGGGGGTTAAATTCCCACTCAACAGGCATAATTTTGGCTTTTGTAAGGGAGCTGTGAGTGGAGCTCAGCGCTTTGCTCAGCGGAGGGCAGCGTTGCGTGACACAACCCAGCATCCAAGGGAAACGTGGCTGGCAGCAGACATAGAAGGGAACGACACGCTGTACCAGCTCTTCCAGTTTCACAGGGACCTTGCGTTTTCCAGCTGTTTACCCTGGAGATGTAAAATGGCAATTTGGCATAGGCTAACAGCCCGGTGTGATGTGAGCATCTGCGTAAAAGGCTGCACATATGGAGCATGCCCAGTGGTATGAACAGCCTGTTACCCCACCCCCAGCCAATCTAGGAAGAGATGAAATGAACTTTGCACTTGCAAATGTCACTGAATACATTTTGAACAGGATTTTAAAAGGTTCTCTTGCAAGCACTATTTTTAACAGCCAAATCCGCCCCCCAAAACAGAAAGGAAAAAGCCCTAGGTATTTTTCTGTCATCGATCTGAGTTTCTGATCAGCTGAAGCATCTCTCACAACATTTACCTGAAGCCGGTTTTATTTTATGTTTTTATCATTCAATTTGAGATTTTTGGAGGTGGTGTGGATTTTTTGGGAATGAATATTTTTATTTTTTTTTCTGGCATGAAAAAATTTGAGAATTTAATTGCAGTAGAATACTTGGAAACAGTGAGGCTGGAAGCTTGAAAGGCAGAGGGAAGAGAAGGAAGGCTCTCACAGCAGAGCATGGATAGGAAAGGAGCTGTGATTCTGCAGTGCTCAGTGTGCACATGTTTTATGAGATCAGTGCCGGGCGCTGCAGCTGCGGACAGTAACTGAGCTGTCTGGCTAATGAAGGCCACCTGGATCAGGCTTCTGAAAAGAGCCAAAGGAGGACGTCTGAAGAATTCTGATATCTGTGTAAGCCCTGCATTTTCCTTATCAGCTTATACTGTATGTATTGCAGAGACAGAGAGAAAAAAGGCGGTGAGGAGAGGACAGTTGTTTTCATTCTGATTGAATTAGCAGAACTCTATTTTGTATGCAGGGAGATGCAGACGGAAAGCAGAGCTGTCATTATTTATAGAGCTGTTCTGGCATTGTGGCTGCTTCCATTGTGGCGATATGGGGACATGTGTTGAGTCCAGACGGATTTTATTAGTTGGAAGTTGATTTGTGGTCATTTGCATGTTTTGCTGAGGGGCAGAGATGGATATGAGCCATTTGCAGTTCTGATGGGGAAAGTGTGTCAGGTAAAGAGGCTGCCCTAAAATAAAAATGCATAGCAAAGGTTAAATCTCTTAGCAGTGGTATTGTGTAATGGTAATTGTTGATACTGAATTTGCATTTTGATTATAAAAAGTCTGTTAGCTTGCTATTTCTGTCTCTGTTTAGAGTTTTCATTTCTGTGGAGCCATCCTTGAAGCTGCTGTGTGTCCTTCAGCCCTGCACTGCACCAGTGCTGTAGCTCTACAGAGCAACTGGCTCTGCTTGCTGAAAAGCACACAAATAAGAGTGCAAGGATAGTGCAGGAAACAAAACACTGGGGAAGACACCTGCACTTTCGGAAAGTTTCCAGAAGAAAATATTAAGCTAGGCATAATTTCTTCAAAGTGACTTTCCCTTTGGACAGTTACTCTATTTTCAGGGATACAGAAGTAAGAAGAAAGTCAAAATGCATAGCCACTTCTACTTTTTTGTTGTTGTTGTTTTTTAAACATCAAAGGAACTTGTGACATTTTTTTTCTTTTTCTTGTGCAGGGTTCGGCGGACTCCTACACCAGCCGTCCATCTGATTCAGATGTATCTCTGGAAGAAGATAGGGAAGCAGTGCGGAGAGAGGCAGAGCGACAGGCCCAGGCACAGCTTGAGAAAGCAAAGGTAAGGTGTTACTTCCAGTCACAAACTCATAAAACGCTTGGCTTTAGAGTGGGGGTTGAAATTAGAGGATCTTTAAGGTCCCTTCCAACTCAGACCATGCTGTGATTCTTTGACTGTCATCTCATCTTTTACTCATAAAGTGTTTTTAATATGCTAACATATAGATTAGACCTCTTATAAACATACTCCAGGCAGCAGGTGAAAATCTATGTTCCATGAAAAATCACTTGAAATAAGTTTTCCATAAAAGGGATTTGATTGACTTGTGTATTTCAGAACATTCTTATTTAAACATGTGCATTTATTCTTTTATTAAATATATGCATTTATTGCAGCGCATAGGATCAAAGCCATGAGTTTTTACTGAAGATGTTTGTGAAAGTTTGCCTATGGATTGCTATGGCACTCAAAGCTTGCATTTCCAAAAATCAGCCCTCAAACATTGTATTCATCTCCCTTCAATGAAGGATCAGTCCCTACAAATCATATGTAAATTGGGAGAATCTGTTACAAGGGTGTTTTTTTCCTGAAGACTTCATTGACTTTCTTTAGACTTTGTGTGTTAAATGACCCCATGAGTAATATATAGGACTCCTACCTCCATACTTCTGGCAAATAGTGACAATTTAGTAAGAAAACACTAAATAAGCTTTAGGTTTTTGATGTGTGTTTATGTATTATCCATGAGATGCATTTAGGAATGTGAAGGTTTTAGCAGTGGAAGTCAACTGGCTTTTTTTTCTTTCATCCATGCTGTATCTTTAAATACTACTGTACTTGTGAAAATTGTGCTCATCTTAATTGTTATCATTCATTTATCACTTCATTCCAGTTTTAGTTTTTTTGTAAGCTACCTGCGAGATTTCAGTGTATTACTGTTTTCCAAAATCTGTTTTTCTTTCTAATATCTCATATTTAAATACACTGTTGAGATCCCTCCTCAGATCTACCTGATCTGCATTCTCTCTTTCCCTCTAACCCCCCTCCTCCATTTTGCCTTGTTTTTTTATTTCTCTATCTCCCTTCCATCTCCCATTCTATTTAATTTTTCTCCCATTCCATTTAATTTAGCTTTCCTTCTGCTCATTTAGGCCACCTGTTTTACAAGAGTTCTTCAGAAATCCGTTGAGTCCAGATCACTGAGCTATGCAGCTGATTGTATGGCAAGGACCAGCTCTGTAAATAATACAGGACTATAATATACAAGCAGACATCTTCATTGGGCCAGAAAACCTGAATAGGGAAGCCAAAAATGTTTTTTTTTAAGATGTAGTTGTTAACTGATGTTTAATAAGAGCTCCTAAAGCAGCTTTTTAATGAGCTGCTGGAATGTGCCAACTGTAAGAGATGCTGCACATCTCTTTGAAGTTGAGTCTTGCAGTCCTGGGATCAGTACAGCAGAAACTCAACAGAAGCAGTCTGCTTTTTCCCTTCAGCCTTGTATCTCAGAAATGTTGCTGATTCTATCAGGAGTTTCAGTTTTATCAGAGCTAATTTTTGCTGGTTTGAGATTTTTTTTGCTCTGAGAAAGGTGATAAAAGCTGCCCTGAAATTCAGGTGAAGTGTTGAATTTTATCAGGAAATACACGATCTTTAAAAGAAGAGTTGAAGCAGTAGTATCTTGCAGATTAATCAGGGTAGCAGTGCAGCGCTTACTGCTGAACTGATGCATCTCTTAGCGATGAGTAAATCTATGTGAGTGTTGCTATGGGAATTTGGCTTACTGATGCTGGCTTGAATGCATGGACAGCCCTTATGTAATATTCATGACCTCTAGCACAGCTGCCATTGTAGTTTGTAGAGAAACTGCTAGCAGACCCTGACTTCTAAAAGCTGCATTTCTATACATCAAACCGATGTTCCCACTCCAGCTGGCATAAGATGTAGTCTCTAGGTCTGACACCGTCTGAAACTGTAAGACAACTTGTGAACAGTCAAAGTAGTAAAGGCGCTGGCAAAATCAACCTACTATAACAATGGGTTATTCCAGTCACAGAAAACAGAAAACACAAAATTAGTTGTTTAAATCATTTGTGCTTTAAAATGGAATAAGGTTGTAATTACACTAGCAGTTTTGTTTCTCTAGTCAAATGTTGAAAGTCATTCCAGGTTGTAATGTATGGAAATCATTTTATTTAGAGGCTATAGCAATGTAATACTTAGTCTAGCATAATATTTAAATTAATACTATTAAATAAAATATTATGTACAATTGGTGCTTATGTTTGAAATAAATGTTTGAAAATATGTTTAAATTAAACCTAACACCATAGGTCTAAAATATGACAGGGTGTGTTTTTCTGTCTTTATTGATGTTTCAGTCCTTCACCTCCCTGAAACACAGTAAAATTAATAAAGCAGTAGCTGCTGGTGGTGCTGCCTGGCTCCTGTCAGTCCCCAGATCTGTTTCCTGCAGGCAGCAGGTTTTGCTGCCTGTTCCCCACAGCTGCCTTGCCTTTACCCTGACCGACTTCCAGGCAGAGCCAAGTGACACAGCTGCTTTAACTTTTTACCTTTTCGCATTGTGAGTGGAGTGTTGATCCTAAATAAAACCATTATATTTGTCACAGGAATTAGAAGAGGATGACACACAGGAATAATGCAGTGGTGGAGGAAAGATGATGGTGAATTAAGGGGGGAGGAAAAAAAAAACTATTGAGCTCTGTCACGGACTTAACGAAAACAGTTTAATGACATCCATTTTCCATCCTTACAGCTAAGGGAAAACATCTTAAACTGAAGAGAAAACTATAGTGATATAGCAGACAGTGGCAAATTTTTAGGATGATATTAAGATTTTTAAATTGAGTTTTTATAGTGTCTAAGTGTTTATGTGCCATGAAGCTGGAATGTAATACACATCTCTGCATTTTCCCAAACAGAGAGAATAAAACCAGAAAAGCTTGTAAGGAAATACACATTCTGACCACTTTTATTCATTTATATAATAGAGGCATCGATTCTCTAGAATACGGTTAAGCATATTTTGCTGACTCACTTTGGCATGTGACTTACTGTAAGGAAGGTGGGGCCATGGGTGAATATTCAGAGTCGTCCAGGGACAGAAAATGAAGAGGCAACCCATGAGGCTACCTGCAGGCCAATATTTACTCCTGAGAGAAATAGATCTTCAAATGAAGCTGTTAAACCCAAACTGAGATGAAATGTTCTTTATTAAAACAGTTTAGCAATAAAAATGCAGAAGGGTTGGGGTTTTTGTTTGTTTGTTTCTTTGGGGTTTTTGCTGTTGTTTCCTTGTTTGTTTTATATTAAAAAAAAACATTTCAAAGCATCGAGGATTTCTTTGGTATCCTCCTCACAGACCATAGGATGTGGCTGCATCAAGGATAAAGAGGGAGGACCTGTGTTGTGGCTAAATAGGGCATGGTAACATAACACAAATCTAAAGGTTTGTACTGATATTTTACTGAATTTCCTGTTTCCACGAAACCATGAATCTGAAGCATTCACAAGCCAGAAAATAATGATATTAATTGTGTTTAATGTTAATTGGTTAAAAAAATTGTCATTTCTACAGACAAATAGTTTTGAAGGATGAAGATTCAAGAAAAATTATAGTAAATAGAGGGGATTTTTTTTTGTCTATTCCTTGCAAGTATTCAATTAATTATCCCTTAAAATATTGCACCACGTGAGAGGGGTCAAAGGGAAACTGAAGTACAAGTTTTAATGAGACCTTTAAATTCAGTGCTAATTGAGTTAAAATTTGTACATAAGAAAGGGGACTTCAGGAATGATTTTTGGTCCCCTTCAATGCTGCTAAAATCAATTCAGATATGCCACTGATTTCTTTTGCCTCAAGCACTTCATATGTTGTGGACCTAGTTTTTGACTGAAATACAATTAGTCAGGTAGTCTGTAAGCCTTTTTTCTCTTCTGAAAAAAGTAGCTTCTTTCTTCCCTTCAGTCTCTTCAGATTTTTAAACTTTGCCTCTTTTTTCCTCCCGTGGCTTTAGAGCTCCTTATTTAGAAACAGTTTTGAGCTGAGATCTATAGAATATTTTCACCATTTTAGAAAGTTGTTTTTTTTCAGTTATTTCTAGTACATTAGTACTGAAAGTGCCAGTTAATAATCCAGGTTCTGTTTCTTTGGGATTAAGGGACAGCTTTTTGTTCTCTGTTACAGATTGTTCCCAACATCCTTTGCTCCTGAAACTTCTTAAATGACTGTCAAAATCTTTTAGAAATCAGTAATTGTGTTCATAATAGGAAATCTCAATTCCTCTCAGCTCTTCTTTGTTTGCACTCTACCTAATGCTCCACTGCCAAGTGTCCTTTTAGGAATTTGTAAAAATTTGAAATGCACGTAGCCGTAGCTTAAAATGCCATTTAAATACTTTTTATCTTAACCACTGAACTTTTGATAACAGACATCTCTTTGCTGCCTCTTAGGCAATAATATAAGCTGTGGTGTTTTGCTTTTTTGGTGTGTGCTGTAGTAGTGGTGATGGCTTGTGACTGCGAGTAATAATGCAATATCCTAAGTGTCTCCATGCATGGGTTGGGGACCACAGCTTGAAAAGTGTAGCAGGATGAAGGCATGAAAAAGATTGTCAGATGTAATTATCCAGTGCAATGTGCCAAGACTAGTTATGTGAGTATTTATTCACTCTCAGGCAGGTTTCACAGCCTCAGAATGACTCCATGCTGTTAGCAGGCAGCTGAAAAGCTAGTTGAGTTATGTCTGCTGAAGCTGCAGTAGCATTTTTGACAGGCCAGAACTGCCCATCACCTTGATATGTGTCCTTATATTATGTCAGCTTGTTCCATCATGGAGACTCTTTCTATTTTCTCTTAATTATGAGAACATCATGGTGCTGAACAGCACCCAAAGCTATAACAACATAGGATAGTACTTTGTGTTAGATGTTGTGTATGGTAATATTTTTTCGTTCATTTCTTCCCCTTTTTCCTTTTGTTTTAGAATACTTTCATTGCATGTTATCATTTAGGTCACTAATGTTGTGTGTCAGAGTTGC